ATGTGATTTGTGATGTGTGTGCAAAATTTCAAGTCATTCGGACGCCGTTTGGTTGGGTTTTTGATCTAATGCGTGTTTCGAAAGTTTTTAAAGAACTTAGGCTTGAATCCGATGAGAATTGATGATTTTAGTGTTGTTAGATGTGTTTTGATGATTGGAACAAGTTTGGATAATGTTTTAAGACATGTACGTGCTTTTGGTTGGGGTCCCGGGGGCCTCGGGTGAGTTTCGGGGTTGTTTCGGACCATTTCTAGGCCATTTCTAACTGCTGGTTTTTGGCTACAGCAGTGTTCTATGCAATCGCGGGGAATTGGTCGCGATCGCGGTGAGTAAAATGTGAGAAATGTGCCAATGAATCGCGATCGTGGAGAAGAAATATCCTGTTGCGTTGATCCCACTTCGGAAGCTTATATCTCACAATCTATAAGGAATTTGGAGATGATCCAAAAATGAAAATTGTATCCCTTTGTGTCTAGTTTTTAGAAATGTAAATTAATTGGAATTTGAAGTTGTGTACAAAAAGTTATGATGGTTACACTATAGGCTGCCCGGGAAGACCTCTAATACACAGGGTTGACTTTGAAAGCTTATATCTTGCAATGTATAAGGAGTCAGGAAATGAGCAACATATGAAATTATCGCTCTATGTGTCTAGTTTTCAGAACATCAAACCATTTATAATTTGGAGTTGTGTGCAAAAAGTTATGACCATTATACTGGAGGCTGTCCGGAAGAGCTGGGAACTGTTCATCGCGATCGCGAAGCATTGACCGCGATCGCGAAGAGTAAATTTTGGGCTGGAAAAATTGTTCTCCGCGATAGCGAAGCATTTTCCGCGATCGCGAAGAGTAAATACCTGGGAAGAATGTTTTAAAACACGTCAGTCGCGATTTTGGGGTCATTTTACACCCATAGTTGCTCGTTTTTGGAGATTTTTAGAGGAGATGAAAGAGGGATTCAAGAGGAATCGACTTGAGGTAAGAATCTTTGTCTTAAAACTCGATTATATTGTGAAATCCACCTAGAAATTCATGGAACTAAGACTAAAATTGATGAGCTAGGGCTTGGAATTTTGAGAATTTAAATTGGGATTTGAGGGAGCATTTGGACTCCGATTTTGGTAAATTTGATATGTACGGACTCGTGGCGAGACGAGGAATCCGATGATGTGAGTTTTGAATTTTTTCGAGAAGTGGGCCCGGGGCTCGGGTTTTACTAGTTTCGAGATTTTTGCTATATTTTGATTGTTTTCGATTGGGTATTGTTCCCTTGGCATAGTGTGATGTATTCGCTCTGATTTTGGTTAGATTCGACGCACGTGGAGGCCGATTGGAGGGGCAAAGGCGCCGCGGGCTAGATATTTCGCCGGTTCGAGGTGAGTAATACTTGTAAATGATATCCTGAGGGTTTGAAACCCCGGATTTGCACATCATAGTGCTGTATTGTAGTGACTTGCACGCCAGGTATGAGCGTGGGGTAGAGCACCGTTGGGGATTATGACTTAGTCCGTCCCGGTTGTTGGTTTTATTGCGTAATTGACTGAAACTACTTGTTATCATCATTATTTGGGTTGATTGCTATATTTGGGCTTCATGCCAATTATTTGAATCCTTTAGGGATTATTATCAATGTTTTCATGACACTTAGCATATTAAATAATTTCAGTCCTGAGTTAAACCCTGCTTTGAAATGTGTAGTCATATTGCTAAAGTTTAAAGACTTAAATTGCATTTTTCTGATGTTTTGAGTTAAAAACTATTACCTGACATTGCCCGAGTAGCTCATTTGCATGTTCTGGACTGAGGATGGATCGGGCTGCACGCCGCAGCGATGCTATGATGATATTGCGCTTGGGCTGTAGGAGCCCCTCCGGAGTCTGAACCCCCACAGTGAGCGCGGGTACCCAGATGGATCGGGCTGCACGCCGCAGCGATCATATGCATTGCATTGCATTCATGCATTGGTTCCTGTTTGTACTACATGTCATGACATTCAGCACTCTCATATCATTAGCATCCATGCTACTTCTTGTACTGCTTACCAGACNATATATTGGATATCAATGAACCATTTAGTGGAAAAGTAATGGTTTAGGAGGTGATTTCTGTCATGTACTATTAGTAGTTCCGAAATCGACGAAAGCAAAGACTACAAAAGCTAGGTTGTCAAAATTATACTTGTGGACTCAAATGAAAAAGATTCAAAACAAAAATTATAAAAGTAAGAACAGATCCAACATTCAGTAACTTCTTACTTCCAGTCGAAAATGACGAAGAGCACCCAATAAAAAATAATTTAGTTGTTCCAGAACACTTGGTTATCAATCCAAAGGGTAATAGTAGTGCATTTAATAAGAAAAATATTTTCATCAGTAGATTAAAACGTAATTTGTGCAAATTAAATGATAGAAATTAAAGAGTTATCTTAGCTAGCAGAAATGAATATATTGATCAATAAATAAAAGGTTGATTGCTAAGTTTTATGGTAAAAATAAAATATTTTTTAGTTTTGACTCAACCGAAGATGATCGATACCAACAATTACTACCAAGAAGAATACTTAAATACTTTAATATCAAATGACTTTCTACTATCCAGGTTTGTTGTCAAGTTTATTATTTCTTACGTATGTTAGTGTCACCATATATATAATAGACTAAGTTAAAATTGACCTTCGATTGGATATAGATTGATTTTAAAGAAAAATATGCCCGTCATGCTACTGAAAACTTAGATCCGCCGAATAGCTTATGTAATAGTACACAGTTAGTATATTGAAGTTTCGACAATAAAATCACATGCAGAAATTATGATACTGGTCAACGTGCTTTTAAGTACGTTTTTATCCTTGAAAGCAACTTTCGTCTTCCAAAACTAAAGAATATCCTTTAAAATTTGTGTAAAAATAATTTTTAATATGCTTATATTTTGTAATTATAATAAAGCACAAGGACAAACATCCTAAATCTTGAACTATGTTTACAACAATATGTTTTCTTGCACGAATAACTATATGTTACACTTTCAAGAGGGATATTAATATCGACAACAAGAGTTCTGGTTATGGCAGAATAACCAAATCATTAGAAGGAAACATGCACAAAAAAACATCGTCTACAAAGAAGTGATCGGTAAGATATTATCATATTAGATACCTTTAAACTACAATACATAAGTATCTAATTAACATGACTAAATTAATCATTTTTTTAAGTTCTAATGATGTCCTTTCATTTTGAATTCACGTATTATGCTAATGTAATAATATTTTTCGACATTTAAATAATTGTTGTATTATTATACATAAAATTTCTCTCATTAATTAATTATTTTTTCCTTCATACAAATAAATATTTAAATCATCATGTGTCATTATTAACGCGCAACGCACGTTTATAGATACTAGTTGTATGTATACAGAGCTATACACATTCATTGTATTCTTTTAGTTGCTTTTAAAGCCGATTCTTCTAGGTGTTGTGTTTGTCAAAGAGGATCTTTTTCAATATAATTTATTTTCTTATTTGATAGATGTATCTCCGATATATTTCTCCCTTTTGTAATATTATTTTAGTTTTTGGCGAATTATATTTAGATTTTATTATTTTTAGGACTCAAATAGCAGAAGACCAAAAGTATAATATGGCAAAATCTAAAAAGAACACGCTATGTTTGTGGCGAGATCATTGGATAATTCCAATAATTATTAATTTTGCATTATTTTTCCATTGTAGAATTCCTAATTTTGTCTTAGAGTTATGAAACTTGTTCTAACAGGGTCAAAAAAGAAATACTTGATCTTCTTATCTTTCAACAGTTCAACTCACTATTTAGTTGGTAAGGTGGAAGATTTTTGTAACACCTGTTCCAAAAGAGGCTTAGGAGGAGTAAGATTCCATTGTAGAAAGTGATAGAGAGTCGCTAATTAAAGCACTCTGAAGTAGGTTGGTGGCATTGAATAAAATATTTTTTACATACTCCGACAATCTATTTTTCATGTTGCAAGAAAAAAGTATCTTTTTTTGGCTAATAATATTCTCTAAACATGAGTTATCTCTTATTACCAAATATAAAATTTTAAATTTTTTTTAGTGATGTGAAAATTGCTGACATTAATCTTAATTCTAATGAAATCACGAGAATACCAAGGATTGCAAGTAAACTATGTTGGAAGTCATTAACTTTGAATTAAGATATATTTGTGTCAAACAATAACGTATATAAGGAAAACAAAGACCTTGTCAAGCTAATTCATGCAAGATTTATGATGTAGTTCTTTTGAGCATTTGACATTTTCTTCAACTCCGTATTCATATCCAAAAACATGAGCTACCAATACCATGTGGTTAATTGCATATCACCATGCACTATTTATCTTTATAGGATTTTGATTTAAAATATAAAAATAGCTCCAACTTTCATACCAAAAATTGCTTATATACGGAGATCCTGAGATTTCGTATATTGGTGGTAACGAAATTAAATGCACATGAAAACACAAGAATTCTTACCTAAAAAAGCTCCAACACAATCAGGCGCTATATATTATACTATATAATACTATTTATTATATATATATATATATATATTATTTTTTAAAATATTGTGCTCGTTAGATAGGGTACACGCGCAATGTGCGTACACAAAGACTAGCTAGAATAGGATATACATGAATTAGTAATATGGAAACAAAAGTATTTATTAAAAACAACAAAATTGTTAAAAGTAATTTGTTACATAACTCTCTGTATATTATTCACTGTAAAACAATTTGTATTTTTACAACAATATTATTTCATTAGTATTCACAGCATAATTAATTCACACATCATAATTCCAGTATAACAAGCAGAACAAAAATGGTCCCATAACAAATAATTTGTGAAAATAGTCTAAAGCATCGACGATGCTAAAACTATGGTAGATAATCTCATCTGCAAATTCTTGCCAACTGAAACAAGCATTTTACCTACTCTATTACCTAAATGCAAACGACGACTGTGCAGTGCAATGCCAAAATCTACTGAAAGAGGACAAACAACAAAGTCGAGGGTTTACATAACAGCTGGTGAAACTGCTACCTGAAACGTGAAATCAGTACGAGAAAACGCTAAAAGAATCTGGAACTATGATGATAAAATTAAACTCATTGCTCTGCGCTAATTGCTTTGAATTAACACTGTAAGAATATTTACAATAACTTTACAAGGCTTGCGTAGTAGGGAATATCCTCTAACTACTGTATACAATTACAAGAAGCAGAGCTACTGTCACCACCCAGCTCACCCACAAACAGCCATCGGAACAGAGCCATTCAAACCACTCCAAATTCCACTGTACAGTAAGCTCTGAATGAATATACAACAATCAGATACCGTCCTCAACCTAATCTCGATGGCTCCTGGAAGGGCGCTGCTTGTCATCATCTTAGCTTTAAATAAGCCATCCTCCCCGATGGTTCAGATAAAAATGGTGTACCAGCAGCAAAATGCCAGATATGGCGTGCTCGTTCGAACCAAAATACTACAATGACTGAGCTAAATCTATCCATCAGGATCCAGTGGTTCTCCAGAACACTCATCTGGAGCAGCTTCCTCCTCCTTCGGAAGGCACCGGATTGGGACATAGACGTACCCTTTAGGTAATCGCTGGTTCTTCATTGAGGCTTGATCTGAAGTCATTACCAGCTCTTTCTCAAAAGTTTCCATATGCTGTACATGCAAGAAACTGGTTAAGATCTAAATTTCAGCAAATAATGCATATCAAATATCTAACCGTACTTCCAACTAAAGGCATGAATGTTTCCTGTTATGAAGAATGTCAACCTAATGAATCAGATGGAACAAGACTCTACCTTTCTGTAGCTCAATCGCTTGTCCCCGTCATCTGTAGAATTGCAAGAAGCTCTATAAGGGATTTGCTTCCCAGAAAATGAAGCTCGTTGTGCAGGTTTTTGTGTGACAGGGTTGGGTGATATAGAACTATCATCAGTCTTCTGATCATTGTCCATAGGCACAGGAAACTTAATGCGCCGTTTTCCTGCTACAGCACTGTCTACTGTTATGTCATCTGATCTTTGTATTGTTTCACTGCCTGATTTATAGCCATCAGTATAGCCTTTAATGGATGTCGTAGTAGCTGAATCTGAACTAACATCAGGTTGGAAGTAAGGGTGTCGAGTCAGAGCAGATAAAACAGCATTGTCTCTACTTGAAGCCAGAATATCATGTGAGCAAAGGATTACTTCCCGCTGCAAATCAAGAAACAACCATCAGGCCAACACACCAGAAGAACATGCAGCATAAAAGAAAGAATAAAGCAAATCCCACATTTCGTGCAATATCTACAAACAACAACAACAAACCCACTATAATCCCACAAGTGGGGTCTAGGGAGGGTAGTGTATACGTAGACCTTACCCCTACTTTGAGGGTAGAGAGGCTGTTTCCGACCACAACTCAAGGAAAAATGAAAAGAAAGCAGTAGCAACAACCAGCAACATAACAAGATAACAACAGCAAGATAACAAGATAACAAGCGGAATGATCAATATGTAGTAATAGAGATCTAACAATAATAGAATACAAGGCTAACTACTAGTACTACTAGTAAGGGGAAGATACACACTCGACTACCTACTAACCTTCTACCTCAATCCTCGACCTCCACACCTTCCTAACAAGAGTCATGTCTTCAGTGAGCTGAAGCAACGGCAAATCCTACTTAATCACCTCTCCCCAGTACTTCTTTGGCCTACCTCTACCTCTCTTCAGACCCACCAAGGTCAACCTCCCGCACCTCCTCGGTGGGGGCGTCTGTGATTCTCCTCTTCACATGACCAAACCATCTAAGCCTCGTTTCCCGCATCTTGTCCTCCACTGAGGCTACTCCCACCCTGTTCCATATATCTTCATTCCTAATCTTATCTATCCTGCTATGCCTGCACATCCTTCTCAACATCCTCATTTCTGCTACTTTCATCTTCTGGACATGGGAGTTCTTGACTAGCCAACACTCTGCTCCACACAATAAGGTCGGTCTAACAACCACCCTGTAAAACTTACCCTTAAGTTTAGGTGGCACATTCTTATCACACAGAACATCGGATGCGAGATTTTATTTCACCCATCCCGCTCCAATACGATGTGTAACATCCTCATCAATATCCCCATTTTCTTGGATAATAGACCCTAGGTACTTGAAACTATACTTGTGTATCAAGCCTCATGTCTGCTCCATTGGTCTTTTCACTGAACTTGCACTCTAAGTACTTAGTCTTGCTACTCAACTTCAAACCTTTATACAGAGTATGTCTTCAAACCTCTAGTCTCGCGTTAACACCGCCTCGCATCTCGTCAATCGGTACAATATCATCCACAATAACATACACCATGGCACCGCCAAGGCAAATAAAATGGGCTAAGAAATGACCCCTGGTAAAACCCCAACACAATTAGTAAGTGGTCCGAACTCCCATCCCCCACTATCATCACCCGTGTTTTTGCTCCATCATACATGTCGTTAATCACTCTAGTGTAAGCAACATGAACACCCCTAGCCTCCAAACATCTCTATAGAATCCCCCTCGAGACTTTGTCATATGCTCTCTAGATCAATGAGAACCATATGTAAGTTCCCTCTTCCTCTCCCTATAGTGCTCCACCAACCTCCTTACAAGGTGAATGGCTTTCGTAGTCGAACGCTCAGGCATAAATCCGAACTGGCTTAAAGGAAATAGACACGCTCCTCTTCACCCTCGCTTCCACTACCCTCTCCCAAACTTTCATAGTGTGGCTCAACAGCTTGATACGCTTATGGTTGCTGCAATTTTGGATATCACCCTTATTTTTGTACACCGGAATCATCATACTCCACCTCCATTCCTGAGGCGTCTTCTTCGTCCTTTTAATGATTTTAAACAACCCAGCGAGCCATTCCAAGCCTCCTTACAAGGTGAATGGCTTTCGTAGTCGAACTTCCAGGCATGAATCCGAACTGGCTTTCGAAAATAGACACGCTCCTCTTCACCCTCGCTTCCACTACCCTCTCCCAAACTTTCATAGTGTGGTTCAACAGCTTGATACACTTATAGTTGCTGCAATTTCGGATATCACCCTTATTTTTGTACACCGGAATCATCATACTCCACCTCCATTCCTGAGGCATCTTCTTCGTCCTAAATATGATGTTAAATAACCCAGTGAGCCATTCAAAGCCTGCTCTGCCCATGCTCTTCGAAAATTCTACTGGAATTTCATCTATCCCGATTGCTATTCCCTTGCTCATCTTACGCATAGCCCTCTCGACCTCCCTTATTTTAATACTCCTACAAAAACCAAAATCTCGATGACTCTCGGAGTGCTCCAAATCAGCCAACACAATACCCATGTCCCCTTCTTCATTTAGGAGTTTATGGAAGTATGTCAGTCATCTGTCTAATATGCGCCTCTTCTATAGTCTGTCTTCCTCGTCTTTGATGCACTTCACTTGGTCCAGGTCACGGGTCTTCCTTTCTCTCACCTTGGCTAGCCTATGTATAGCTTCTTGTCCCCCACCATTGTCGCTAAGTTCTTCGTACAAACGTCCAAATGCTACCGTCTTAGCCGTCGTAACCGCCAACTTCGCCTCCTTCTTGGCCCTCTTGTACTACTCCCTATTCTTCCTCTTCTCCTCCTCTTCCTTGCTCTCCACCAGCTTCAAGTACGCCGCTTTCTTGGCTCTACTTCTCCTTGGACCTCTCCATTCCACCCACACTCCCCTTTGTGCCCTCCAAAGTAACCTTCCGAGACCCTAGAAGCTTCCCTAATGCATTTCCCTGTCATGGTCCACATACTACTCGTGTCCCCACTACTCCTCCATGCCCCCATAACCACCAACTTCTCCCCCAACACCTAAGTTTTGTCCTTAGTCAAGGCTCCCCACTTGATCTTAGGTAGACCATGCACAACCCTCTTCTTCCTCCTCCTCCTGATCTCCAAGTCCATCACCAAGAGCCTATATTGGGTCAAGAGATTCTCATTCGGAATAACCTTGCAATCCATGCAAAGGCCTCTATCACACTTCCTAAGGAGTAGGTAGTCAATCTGGGTCTTGGCAACCGTACTCTGAAAGGTAACCAAGTGCTCCTCCTTTAGAAAAAAGTGCAATATCTATAGTACTAAAAAGAATGTTTCTTACCATGAAAACAATTGATTCACATCAGACAAAGTAAAGCACAATCACAAGATTGTAATACAAGACACCACATTAACAATATGCAAACAGAACAAGTAAAAAGCTTGTACCAGCAATGCAACAAAAGTGATGAGTTTGACAAGGCAGCGGCAAACAGTGATATCAAACAGAAAAAAGGCAGGAAGAGTATTCACAACTGCATTAATCTGCAAAGAGCATGGGAACGAAAGAAAAGGCACCTTCAGCTTCTCTCTCTTAACAATTCTTTCGCATAATAGTCGTAATCGCTCCAATTCAACCTGCACATGAAGATTTGAAAGGATAAGGATCTTCGCCACGCCGGTATGAGCAAAAATGTTCTAGATGGATAGACAAAAACAGAGCGCTTCAATATCAGATTCCAACAGTAGCTCACAACTGCAGCATATAATGGAAAGGAGCTTCATAGACTGGGATAACAGCCACAAAAGATTTACAAGCCAAAGCATAAAATTTGCACTTTGAGCAGCGTCCAACCCTGAATACAATCCTATAACAAGTTGTCCTGAGAATCTATTGAATAAACACATAGAGCCTAAAATCAACCACCCCTTCCATCTTTTCTGGAAAAAAAGAAGAAAGAAAAACAATAGCAAAGAGGCATGTTTGACTCAACATAATCAACAAAGAAGGGGTGTAATTATTTGTAACAGATGCGTACTTTGTGAGGATGGATATGAAGATGCGAACCATCTTTTTATTCACTGTAAGGTCATTTCTCAAATAGGGAGAGCGATTCTGAATCTTTTAGAGCTGAAATGGTGTATGCCAGAAAGCACAAAAATTACTCCTCTGTACAGAAAAGTAACGAACAGAGACATGAAACCATTTTGGAACACTATCCTTGCAGCTATTTGGTGAGTGTTTTGGAAGGAGAGAAACCAGAGGATCTTTTAAGGAAGAAAGGACTGTCTGAGGAAGATCAGATACAGATGTATCTTTACATTAGCATACTGGTGTAAGATGACAAATGTATATGACGTTGCTACTTTTGATAGAATTCCTCAATTATGTGCAGTAAGGTCGAGTCTTTGCTTTTTGTATTGCACACCCCAATGCACCTACTCGGTGTCACTTTTTTAGTAATACTTACCTTACCTTATCCAAAAAATAAAAAAGCTCCAAGTACTAATGTTCCTTTGCTTTCCACCGTGTTCTAAATTTGTTGAACCAAAAAGTTAAATCAAAATCACAAAAAAAGACATGATTAAGGTTTGTCGGACCCAGTTCAACTACTTAAAACACCAACTGGATTAAAACAACCTGGTTCAGATTAAAATTTTAGACAGCAAATCATATTGAATTCGAAACTCCTGCATGCCAACTAAGCCAACCTCACATCACACAACAGTAACTTGTTCAAAGAAACATCCTGGTAAAAGAAAGGAGCTCCTGGTTAAAAAAACTGTAAAATTGCTCAAAATACCGTTTGTAAAATTGGATTTATGAACATCAACTGTACTTGCCGGCACAATAGGGACTTAAGAAAACAAGAAATCTGTTGCCGACTACATGACAAATAGTAACTTGGTCTATAGTTTAAGCCCAAGGTTTAGTCTTCACTTCTTTCTTAGGAAGGACCCCCAATAGGAGTCATTTTCTCCATCTTCTTGATGAGCCCGGGGTCAATTTCTCTTAAATTACACAAGCTTCTCTTTAGCGCCAAAAGGGAGCTAGGCCATATCAAGATACAGGGTGTCCTCCCAACTCCCAAAACAAGAACAATATTTCATTCAGGGGAAAAAAAGTTTTTCTTTGTGGTAGTTCTCTTGCTCCAACATCTTGCAAACGACATGGCAAAAATAGAGACTTTCAGGCAGTAAAAAGAAGGATCTGTGACCTTGGTAGTATAGTCACTTGCTCTATTTTCCTTTTAGGCACCGGGTTATACTGGACCTATTCTCGTTACTAAGATTTGGAAGAAGAGGCCACCTACGGTATGTGATCCATCCCTCAGCGCTGTCTGAAATGCTTTCAGGATTTAACTGAATGGCTCACAAGCTTAAAGAAAATGGTTGTACGCATTTTCTTTTTTGGCATGAAGAGTGAAATTGCTTGTACGTTTCAAACTCTTTGGTCCAGCATAACTTTTGTGATTCTCTATTTTCTAAGTATTGCTTTTATTTTATTTTTTTGATTTGCACCGGGCGTCCGAGTCTCTAAGAGCCCCGACTAATCCGGGGGTGCACAGGCCCTTGGCAAGGAGTTTCCCGCAAGTGCACCACGGTTAATTCAGGTTTTACCCAGTCCGATGGCCCTCAGAAATTGTTTGCACCCAGTGAGTTTCGAACTTGAGACCTTGAAAGGGAGCAAACCCCAAGGCTCAAGTCTATTACCACCAGGCCAACCCCCGAGGGTTTCTAAGAATTGCTTTTATTTCCGGTAGCTTTTGCTCATGCATGTCTATATATTAAACACAGCCTTCAAAAGCGTCTCACTTGCAACCCGTCTCTTCTTTTTTCTCTTTCTACATTAACAGGTCATTGATAATGCACAGCACAGCAGACACCAAATATGACTATGTAAGTAGCGTGCAAATTAATAGCCATGGAGATTCAAACTGAAAAGCGGAATAAAAAAAGACAGTCCCCAATTTCTAGACCCACCAGCTACTCTGTCCAACACCCACTTAATGGTATCCTATTTCCTAAGTGAACATATAAAACTTATATCGAACTGGTGCAACTAACTGTCAATTCTCCTACTTAAACTGTCCATGCAGCAGATGTCTATGTTCCTCGCAACCATAAAATATGATTGAAAGCACTATGTCTAATACACTATTTAGTGTTCAGCAGAATTAATAACCATGGACAGTGGCGGATCCAGGATTTTAGGTTCGTGGGTGCTTAACTTTTTTGACGTAAAATTACTATCAATCCCATCATATAAGTATGCAACTATTTAAATACAATGAAAAAATTTTAATTAGAAAACCATGATATTAATTTTATAGACGCCGTGAAACTATGATGGATAACACAATTAGCGAGAAAAAAGATTAGTGGATTTTGCAGTTCTGGAAGGAGTCTTTGTTTTTCTAAAGAAAATATTCTTTTTCTTTCTTTGCTATAATTTAGTAGATAAAGTAAGAAAAGAAAAGCAAAAAAAAAAAAAGATAAAACGAAGTCAGAAGCAAAAGAATAAAAGTAGTATTGGCTCAAAAAAGTCGCTAGTGAAAACTGAAAAGAACAAAAAGAGGACCTCATAATAGGGGCAAAAGAAAATGCCTGATAATATTCGATCCCTTACCCTTTGGCTTTTATAACTCTCCAGCACCCATCATAAACGAAAGCACCCACTAGGCTCTTTGTTACCTGGGTGCTTTCTATTTTATTATATCCTTTTTCTTAACTTCTCTATATAACTATACACATTCCGAGTCGAGATTAATGGGTGCTCGAGCACCCAATTTTTGTACGTAAATCCGCCCCTGACCATGGAGATGAAAATTGAAAAGTGACAAAAAATAAAAAGAAAGGGAAAAACCAAAGAAAAATGAACGGGACAGCAAGACAACTTATGCAACTTGAAACATGATAGATAATCAGGCAAATAGCATCACTTACCCTGACTTGCTTCAGGCTCTTCAGTTCTTCCACCCCATGTCTCTGAGTCTCAGACTGATCAGATGTGATACACAATGAGTATATGACACAAGTACTAATCACTAGAGAAACTTGCACCTATTACATGGACAAAGACAACACCAACCTTAAGTCTCTGTTCCAAACTATGTTTATCACAATATGCTTTATGCTGCAGCTTGCCACCGTTAGTTCTCACGATCAAAAAGAAGCCAGCACTTCTAGCACAAGAGGGATGGAATGTGCTCTGACAGTGACCATAACTACACTGCAAGTAATACAGTAGTATTCCAATAAACAAACTAAGTTTAACACAATTTCAAAATGCAAAAAAAGCCCTTTCACATCTTTTACCTTAGTGCATACACCTTTTCTCCGCTGGCATACGAGGCAGACATCGTTACCCTTGGGGACAGTTGCCTGCCATTATCACAATGATTGACACGGTAACTATTACATAGACTATGCAAGTCCAGCTTTCCAGACTTAAAGACAACTGTATTGAGCAAAAGACATTCTTAATTCTGCTAAGCACGTACCATTCCCTCTATTTGTTGTACTTGCCCTCTTCTGAAAGTTGATTCAAAGGCCCACTACAGAACAAAAAGAAATTAGTGCACTCATCAGTGCAGCAAAGTAAATAAAACTAGTGTGTGATTATGAATAGCTAAACATGAAGATTGCATTTTACTTCAGCACAGAAGGCATGAACCCATTGACCATCATTTGACTTTCTAAAAGCGCCAGCAGTACCACCACATAACCCACATTCTGCAATAAAACAAGGTTTCTCCTTCTCCCAAAGATTAGAAGCTTGAGCTCCAGAGGCCCCAGATGACAATAAATCCGCGCATAGTTCACAATACCAAGGACCTGTTGAGTTTCTTACACTTCGATAGCAATCCAAGTGAACAGCAACCTATGAACAAGGATAATTTGAACTCAGGAAAAGATTTTAGAAGGAAGAATAGGAATGTAGTGCTTCCTACCTTGCAGCTGGTACAAACTAGGATGGGATTTAAAATGGTCTCGGCCCGTCTGCAGACATCACAAGTTCTGGCATGGTCTTTCAAAAAATCTGAACCTGGCTGGACAAGATCAGAGTTAGTCTCTGGTAATATCCGCACACTGGTTGGCCTTGAAAGCGTCTCCTTGACACGAGGATGCTGTTGGGAAGAAAGCCTAAGCCTTTCACTGGTAGCATTCATCTTCAAAACCCCAGCATAGAAGAAGAAAAAAACAAATAAACTCAGTATGGCGACAACAAGATTGAAATTCTGATATAGTTGTTAATACTACTTCAGTGGCTCTCAAGTCCTAACGTAAATAGACTTACAACCTCCTGGTGCATAGATTCTTCTACATTATCTTTCCTCAATGATGAAATCCTAGACGATGCGGCAGCTGCAGCAGTTGCAGCAGCCAGTACAGTCTGGGCCTCCTTATGTCGTTTCTCTTTCCTTCCTTGCTTTTTGGCTTCCCTAAGCTCATAAAGATACTGGCTAACTAGAACAGCATCCCATTCTCGTTGTCTAGCAGCATCAGTCTCCTGTTGGAGACTATTCACAACCTTAACAATTAAATCATCTGCAAAGAAAATCAAATGACCATCAGTTAATTCAACAACAATATCCATGAGTACTGGCACATGAAAAAGCTCAGCAAGAGGTGCATGTTATTTTCTGCAATTCTCATACAAGAAAAGGAGGCAATAATGCTAAAACGCGCGAATAGGAGATGGAGTTTATAGCAGAGACCACTAAAACGTTTCCTTGCAGCAGCATTACAAATCAGTCTGTGCTGGTAATAAACGAGCTCTCCTTCCAGCTCATCTGCTGGTGAAAGCTCAAGCAGGCCCATATTACTTGCCTTCACCAACTCTTCAAGGCATGCACCATTCAATTTGAGAATGTCGCCAGAAGTTGACTGTTGAAAATGTTGACTGCAGCAGATTCCTGAACTGGAAGATGCTTCAATTTGAGAAACTTCTCCGTGTCTCAAATCTGCGAGCATAATAAATAACATGAAGTTCAATATACAAGTGACATCCACAAGCTTTTACCATAATAATCACGAATATTACCATCCAAAGGGGATCTGTTCTCCATTTGCCTTAATCTATTCTGAATAAGAGGGTGAATGTAGGAGCTACGGAAAGCTTCATGTTTACTGCATGAAGAAAATATAAATGCTGGTAAAGCTCAATAGTTAAAACGATGTAGCTCAAAAAGTAGCTACAAGTCACAACTAAACATAAAGTATAGAATACTTACAGGACATCCGGTAAGTGGTTAAAAGAAACTGAAGAAATAGTGCTGCTCGTATCAGCAACTGTCACAAGATTCTGATCAGATAAAGCACCCTGCTCCACTTGACCATTCTCAAGGCTGTGGAGTGAAACCTTAGATGGCTCTGCAGCCAAATTATTCTCAGATTAATTTTCAGAATGGCAAAAGGCAGTTAATATACAAGCTCATTATTACATTATAGCTTCACTAAAGAGAAATTCTCCTTACATCTCATCACAAGCAAACACTGTACAGATATAAACAAGAAGAGGCATAGTTAGTACTTAAAACTAGTTCTTCAATGACATTAAAATTAACCGACATTGTAAAGCATAACGCAAAGACAGTTTCACCATTTCCAGATTTTATCGAGGTGGATTTGGTTCCATGTCAGTTTTCAACAATAAGCAACCGAAACTAGCACTCAAATACCAAAATAGGCTCAGACGAAAACAGAACAAACCCCAGCGTTCAGGTTGAAAAGTAATAGATAGCATAAGATAAGCAAAATGTCTACATTGAAAGACAGACAAGGAGTTTGGAGCAAGAAAACTAATCGATCACATGGATTGGATGCTTGATAAGCTAAAGAGATTATCCTATGAAGACGAGAAAAAATGGTCTATATGGTTGTGACCCATGAGCTGATAGAATACAGGACCGCGGACCACTCTTTCAAATAAAGCAGCTAGAGCTGGAGAATAAACCTGGCAGCTTTGGTTATGTTGCTAAGAGTAATTTGTATCCAATTAGTTTCACAAATTGTTGTTACTGGACTTTTTAGATGCTTTATTTTTCTTTTTCTTTTTTTTTTTTTTGATGAAGCAAAAGTTTTGTTGCTAGCATCAAGTGGATGCAAAAAGATAGTACAAGGATATTTTAATTGAGCTCGCAAAGAAATGCAAATTAGTTCCTGGTACAAAGGTGCCTATTCTAAAACCAGGGAGCTAAGAAACTGAAAAAAAAAAATCAGGGGTATCTACAGGGGTTACATTGAACCAACTAAATAGATACAAGAGGGATCTAGTTTTTTTTTTTTTGTTATTGTTGATATTGTACAAGAAGCATCTAGCCTCGAAAGAGTGATTCGGAGTTGACAAACCATCAAAGAATCCTCTATTCTTTTCTGTCTATAAGCACCAGCATATACTAGCTGGGATCATCTATCAAATGGTTTTTGATGATAAGAGTGATTGGACTTTTATATACTTTATTATTTCACATGGGTCTTTATAATTTTCAGTATGTAGTTTAATATTGTTTTTTATCATGTCACCTGTGGACAAAAGCAACCAGCTCGCAAGAAAAATACTTGACTATCATCTGCTTCAATCAATAGTTGGTTACCTTAGTCTGTCATTTCAATCATTAATCAGCAGGATTCTAAGTGCCAATATGCTAGCTTTCGAAATTTTAATGAAAATTTTATTAGGGAATAGCACCCACAGAGTGTGACGTGTGCATCTCAGTACAATAGCTACATGTGAAAAGAACTAAGGAAATTAATCATCCTATCTACAAGTGTCAAATGCTCGCTTGAACTAAGGAAATTAATCATCCTATCTACAAGTGTCAAATACTCGCTCGAACTCTCAGAAAACTCTTTTTTACATATGTATGAATTTATCCTAATATTTCAGCAGTTTCCCAACAAAAAATTATACTCCCTCCTCTTAATCGAATTATTTTCTTTTAGTTCCTCAGCAAACAATGGCCTATCTTGTTAGATCTTCACTAAGTAAAGCTTAATATATAAAAGTAACATTTCTTTATCAGAAAAATCTAGAAGTAATACACTTCAGATCATTTTATTTAATGTTGCATCTTTTAGCCTTTTCATATCTTCCAACAATGATATGACCATATATATTGACCTCAAAAGGTCGAAAATTATTTGGCTAATTCACAAATTAACCACTAATATTCAAATATAATAACTCGTTCACCCTTTTTATCTTGACCTCTAACTGGAAGTCATCAAGGTAATACAATTTGGGGCTACTAAATTAACATGGATCTCTTTCCCTTTTGCAAAATTACTCTTCCTTTACTCTTTTGTCTATTAATGTTTTTTCTTTCTTCTTGGCCATATCAGCAACGAAGAAAGATATTACAGTCTCCAGCTTTTTAGCGCTAAAGGCAATCTAAAACTCGCCACTTGTTAAAATAAATTGATACAGTTGGAAATTAAACATCACCAATCTCAGAATGGAATAAAATATAGGATTTTGAAAGAACTGAAAACCTGCTTGAATGAGAAGGTTGGCTGGGAGCTAATGACTAGAGAGACAGTATAGGTTTTGTAGTGCACATAAGGTATGACAACAAACCCAACATATAAAGTAGCAAGCACAATCTTAGCATGAATGAGGAGATTTTACATCGGCAAAATGGCAAGGCTCTGGAAATTTTACTACATGATAGTGTGACGAAGGGGGCTAACGAGAAGTTCAGGCATTTATATTTTATGGGTAAGTATGCATTAGTTCTTCCAGTAGGCTTGTCTAAAGAAATTTAGTTTACCTATCACAGAAAAACATAACTAGCAAAATTTATATAACCATGCTACAGGATCTAAGTTGGTTCATTTTACAGAATTCGCCCCCCATAAAAGACCATAAAAAACTAAAGATGCACCTAAACTATCCCAACTCGGAATCTAATGGGGAAGTCGCACAAAGAAAATATGTATATATATTTAGTTGGTGGAATTGCACAACAGCCTCTGCAGGCATTTATTGAGGACCCAACTTGGCAAGATCATGCATTAGCCTCAGATGGAACCGCCTAGTTTCCAAGGCCCAAGACCACAGGGGGGGAAAAGATAAATCCCATATACAAGAGATAAAAGTGAAAAAGGAGTTGATATACAAAAAGCTTTTTGCTCAACTTTATTTTTTATTATCTTAAGCCTTTTTTTATCAAGCTTTATTATCTTAAACCTATTAACCGTTTTGGCAATTTCTTGTTTGTCATTAATATTTCATCTTATTCTTCTGGAAGAACATACTCTTTAAGCAATATTATAAGATAGATATGCAACTCCCTCCGTCCCAATTTATGTGACCGTGTTTAACTGGGCACAGAGCTTAAGAAAGTAAGGAAGACATTCGAAATGTGTGTTCTAAAACAAGACAGAGACATTTGTGTGGCTATAAATCATCTCGCTAAGGGTAGAATCTGAAGTATAATTGTTTCTAAATAAGGAATATGATATTCTTCTGGGAAGAGGCTAAAATGAAAAGTATGACACATCAATTGGGACAGAGGGAGTATTATGTAAGTTCGATATAAATAAAATCATATATATTGTTTGTCTAACTAAACTTACCAAAATCCTCATCAGTTATAAGTTTGTAAAGTTGGCCAATGTACTCGAACAAGGAAACCTAGCATAAACAGGAAATAGGTTTTTCCAAAAGAAATAGCATAAAATTGAGGCACATAAAGGCGTAGCATAGCAGTCAATAAAGTTGGAAAGAAGACCATCAGAGACAAAGGTTCACATAACATCACAGGAAATTAAGCTAGGTGATTTCTTCCCATCCGAAGAGATGGTAGAATTACCGGCTATCTATAGTGGTGGGGGTACAAGTACCCAATGAAAAAATTGAGGTGCACAAAAGATTTTATATCATTGTTATCTAAAAATGAAAATAGGCTTTTTCAGAAGATCCAACAAGATGACGCGTTCTGAATTTTTTAGAAGTCACCATCTTCAAAGATTCATAGCTTCATATTCATCTTGCACATCCCACAAGAGGCACGAGTACAATATAAGTAAAGGCTTAGGCAGATGGGAATAAACTAGAATGCGCCTATACTCACATCACCACACTCAAAACAAGCTCTCTACAGACGTAGCTGCTGGAACTGAGTCTGTCCCGGACGACTAGAATAGCCACTGTAAGAACCACGTGCGAAAGGTACACTGAAGGATGACTGGACGAGCGCTCTGAAATTGCTAACTGGAGCACTTTTTTGGATGGGCTCAAAAGCTGGCTAAGCACTTTTTTTGCTTATTTGAGTGTTCGGAAAGTCCCAAAATTTTGTAAGATAAGTGCTTTTAAGCCAAAACAAGCCAAAAGCCATAAGTTGGGGGTCCCCAACTTATGATTTTTCAACTTAAAAGTTAGTTGGGTTTGACCAAATAGTTTACCAAACCCCAAACACCCCTCCCCCCCCCCCCCCAAAAAAACTACAAGAC